GCCAGCCATGCTGGCTGGGGAATTCTGGGGGTAGAAGTCCACCCATCTTCCAGTTGCCAAGGTTGAGCAACACTGCTTTAGCGGAAATTGCAATGAAATACCTGAAAAAACTTTTGTGAAATGGTTCCAACTGCCCTCCCGCCAGCTGCAGGCTTTCAAAGTGGGGCAAGAGGATGAGTCCAAGGGACCCCCCCCTCTCCATGACAAGACACCAAGGAGGAATACTACCTCAGTTACCAAGTTCCCTCTTTTCTCCCTGTCCCCGGACCCCTTTTCTTGCATTCGGCATTCGGGGCAGTGTAAAAAAAAAAAAATGCTTTGACCTAATGAAACCAAAGGTGGTGGGTTCATCAAGGTTTATTAACTTGGGGAGAAACGACCGCTTTGGATTCTCCCCGCGTTCACTTTATAGACGGGGCTCTTTGGATCACAATGTTCCAGTTGGGTAAGTGCAGTATATTTGGGGTGCAAATGAACTTTGTTTCGGTGCCAGAGTCCTCCAAAACAAAGATTCAGCCCTTTTCTGCCCCAGGAGAAAGAATTTGCACCAGAGGGTTACGCTCTGTTTTCAGAAGCCCTGGGTGGGTTTAACAGTAGCATTCCCCACAGAGATTTCAAGGGGCAGTTGGTTATTATTCTCCCGGAAAGCGAGAGAAAGAGGAAAAGCTTCATCTGTTGGATTTCTATGTGCTGTGTTACTGTCAAAAGCCCAGGCATCTGGGGGGCTTTTTGGGGCAGGGGGTGGCAGGGGAGAAAAGTAGCAACCCTGTTTGGAATTGTTTTAGGGCCAACGCTTGTATCCATTGCATATTTGGGCTGATTCAAGGATCTAACTAAGGCTGAATCTTTTAAACGTCTGTCTGTATTCTACCTGCAACCGTCATGACCCCAAAAAGGGAGGTTTATTCACACCCGTTGGCTTGATGGGTTCCTGCTTTCAAGCAGAAGAAAAGGAATATCGCTTTGCCACCCATTGTTTAACCCATTTAAACCTGGTCAGAGGGACCGCCGCTGAGGTTTTCAACCTGTTAGCGGTTACAAAATGAACAACTTGGTATTTCCGGTCTTCTGATGACGATCTCAACCCAGGTTTATTATTTTTACTTTTTTAAGGAACCCACCATTGATTCAGCAGCCCACTGGTCTGCCCTCTAAACCAGTGTTTCTCAACCTTGGCCACCTGAAGATGTGTGGACTTCAACTCCCAGAATTCCCCAG